GCGGCCACCCCTCGCGGGGAAGGGCGGGCAGTGCCCGGTACACGTGCGGCTCGACTGAGCGCCCACCCTGGGCCGGCCCGCTCCTGGCCGTCTTCCTGTCCCAGCCTAGGAGACCGAGACTCACGTCCACCACCCAGTGACAGCGGAGGATGGAGAGCCAAACCAGGTCTGTCCGACTTCGAAGCCTTCGCCCGAGACTCCGAGAACAGGACCGGCTCGGCCAGGACCTGGGCTTCATAGAGCATTTCTCCATCCGATTACACTCGGGTCCTTTCAAATAATACTGCTGGGATACAAGAACCCACGGTCCTCCGCTTCTGTTTAAATTAGAGGCCAGTATGTCGCACGCCGGACGCTCTGAAGTGGAGTTACGAACCGCCGCTGGGAAGGGCAGGCGCAGCGGGCTGGAGGCGCCTGCACTCTGGAACTGGGGGTAAACCAGCCTCAGAATGGAGCTCCTGGAAAACCTGAGTTCCGTTTTCACTGGAAGAAGGTTTTCTGAAAGCAGCACTGCAGACGCCAAGTCTGGTCAAGTCGCAAATCCATTTTCCCTTTTCCACATCTCACTTAGCAGACTCCGCTCAGCGCTCAAAGACGGGAGCTCAGAGGACTGGCCGGAGAGCGGAGCTGTCTTCCTTCGGAAGCCAGAGAGGAGAGTTGAGGTTCTTAGTTCACTGGGCTGCTCTAACAGAATACTATAAACAGGGCGCCTTATAAACAACAAAAAGTCAATTCTCTCTGTTCTGAACGCTGCGAGTCCAAGATCAGGGAGGCAGCTGATACGGTGTCTGGCGAGGCCCAGAGTTCTGCTTCATAGACAGCGCCTGCTCCCTCACCCAGCAGACAGAGCAAGGCAGCTCTCTGGCAGTTCTTACAAGTACCCCATGCATGTGGGTTCTGCCCTCATGACCTGTTCACCTCCCGAAGGCTGCACCTCTTAATATCATAAACTTGTGATCACGTTTCCTTCCTTTCTTTCTTCTTCCTTCATCCTTCTCTCTCTCTCTCTCTCTCTTTTAGATTTATTCTTTATTTCTTCTGTAAGCATGCAGGTGAGAGACAGCACCGTTAACAGAGTCTTGACACTGCAATCCAGCCCCAGACCATGGACACATAGATACCCAGCATGTTAAGGGAGGCCTCCAGATGCAAACCAGGAACCTTTGCATGGGGCCCAGCCTCAGCGTTGTTTCACTGCTGCACTGTTATCCAGCCCCAGTTATGGTTTCAACGTGTGAATGTGGGGGAGACTCCAACGTTTAGACCATAGCCAGTCACCTGGAAAGCATGGGACATGGTGCCAGCAGCCCACCTAGGCCTGCATTACCCAGGAAACCCTACTGTGCTTCTCCCTCCACCTTCCTGGCCGAGGAAATACAGCAGGGCCTGAGCATCTTACTTTGCATTCCTGGTTGAACGATTTGAAGAGAGGCCAGGTGAGAACACTGCTTCTCCCTGTCCAGGTGGAGAGGGCGGGAAAGCAGTGGCCAGCCCAACCCAGGACAGCCTGCGGAGATTGTGGTTTTCTGCCTCAATCTCTCATGTGTTTGCTATCTCTGCCAAAATCTAGATGGTTCTCTGCCCCACCCACCGACTCCTGGTTAATGAAAGGTTTCTTCTGGCCAGTGTGGTGTGTTTACTTTGTGCTTTGTCCCACTTGGTGTTTACACGGCGACCTCTCAGGAAGGCCAAGCACACTTAGCCCTGTTCTGGCTGCACACGGGGGCCAGGGCTTGGGCAGATGGAAGCACACCTTCTTGCACGTCTCCTGCCTGTTCTGTGGAGTCATAAAGCTGGAAAAGACTTGATTTCACAGATGAAGAAACTGAAGTGAAGCATGGATGAGTGACTTGCCCAAGGTATGCAAGCTCGGGTTTCAAGGTCCCCTCCCAGAACGGTGCTATTTCCAGGACAGGGTACCTTTGACTTCGTCCCACTTTTCACTTGTAGAGATGCTGCATTACTTACGTTAAGTATATGATCATAGGAGCTCAGGAATTTTACTGAACAGTGCTTTTGCCTTTTTTTTCTTCTTTCTTTTCTGTTTGTAAGATTTTTAAGATTCAACATAGATTTTTTCCCCCCTTTTACTAATTAATTTCCATGTGTTCCCCTTGCCGTGTGGCAGCCTTCAGTTTAGTACTCTGGCATCTGGCCTGAATTAACCTCCTGAGGTCCGACTGCCCCAGCCTTGGGTCTGAGGAATGGAGACCCACCCCCTGCAGCCCAGAACCTGCGAGGCTGTCTAAGAGCAGACAGTGAAGATAAGCTGGCACTGTACATTCAGGGCTCTCAAGTTCACCTTGACTGAATGAAGTGGGCCTATCAGCTGTTTTGTTCCTTCTGTTTCCTCTCTGTTTAGTTTGCAAGAGAATATTCTGGAGTGTCAGGGGGTTGGTTTGGTGAGGATCAACACATCTAAGGAAACTCTTAAAAAGTTTTTGGCAGGGCCAGCTGGTGGCATGGTGGTTAAGGCAGCTGGATCCCACATGGTCAACTCTGCAGTTCGAATCCAGGACTGAAAAGCACACTAGTTCTGAGAAGAGAATAGGAGGGAGGGGATTGCAGAATGACCATCCAACCCTGGGAGGCGCTTCCTCACTTTCCCTCTCTCTCTCTGTCTCTCTCCAGTGAGTGCATACACCTATGGCAAATTTTCTTAAAAGAGTTTTTGGCAGGATCAGTTGCCATCTCTTGGGATCAGTGCTCTGACAGACTCACACTCTGTGTAAGGTGGGACTGCAAAGTCAGAGAGGAAGAGTTGTTTAGGAATCTAAACATAAACACTCGAACAACTAGGGAGAGGCTGAGGCAGGATGACTGTGAGTTCAAGGACAGCCTGGGCAGCGTAGTAAAACCATTTCCAAAATAATGATAAAAAAAAGACCCCACCCAGAAGCAATGTCTTGTCTCAGTGATTCCAGAGCGGTCCTCTGGGGGTCCTCTGGGTCACTTGTGTGACTCATAGCATGTTGCTTACCTTTTCGGGGTTATGGGCTTCTCACTGATTCCACTTATGGCTGAGTCTTGCTGTTGGCTCATTCATAACTGCTTTCTTCCCTTTCCCTGCTTCCCCCTACATCTGCTTGTGGTGTGTAGTTCAAGTCCCAGACCCAGTGGCTTGAAAAACATGCTGTGTATGTGCACTCACATGCCTAAAATCCCGAGAGGAGACTCGAACAGAAGGGTATGCAGTATGGCCATCACCTCTGGAGGGTGATTTATCACTTTCTCTCTCTCTCTGTCTCTCTCTGGCAAGTACATGTGTCCTATGGCAAAAAAAAAAAAACAAAAGAGAGATAGAAATATATAAATGGGGACCAGCAGGTGATGTGGTGGTTAAGGCACTGGACACTCCCATGTGACGGACCATGGTTCAAGTCCTGGACCTGGTGGCTTGGGCTTGCTTTCTCACTTTCCCTCTTTTGCTCTCTCTCTGGTCAAATTAAAAAAAAAAAAAGAATAAATAAATAGAATGAAATAAATAATCTTAAAGATTAAAAAACATATGTAAATATCATCAGCATGGGGACCAAGAAAAAAGCCTAGCGTGTAAGGCTGATGCAGGATAACAGGGCAAAAGTAAGGGGGAGTGGTCTAGCAGGAGTTCAGTGACTTCACCCAGTTCATTCATTCCACAAATATTTATCACGTGCCAGCTCAGGGTCTGGCCCTGTGCCAGGCACCACATCACGCTTTCACATTACATGAGAGCTAAGCCAACAAAACCGTGCAGCCCTGTGTTGAACACTGAAGAAGCTGTCCGCTTATGGATGAAATCAGGACAGCTAGAAGGAACTCCACCCCCTGAAAGCTGTTTCCAAATTTATAAGATGAAAACATGTAGAAAAAACCAGATTTCTTTAAAGACCTAACAACACCAGTTAACATCTGCCAAAAAGAGGAAAACATTGAAAAATCCATGGATACCATTCCAAATCGAAATCTAAGTGTTTCTGGAAGGGGCAGAATGGTTAGATGAACTTGAGAATACACAGCCCTTGAAGAAGGGTTAAATCTTGGGTTAAATCTCACTCTCTACATGCTGCTAGTGTACCCTCACAACTCTTAGTCTTTGCTGGCCTCAGTTTCATCACTTAAATAATGGAAATAAAAGTGTTTATCTGGCCAGCAGGTAGTGTGGTAATTAAGGTGCTGAATTCCACATGACTGTGGCTCCATGAGTTCTGTACCCTCAGCTTGAAAAACACATCAGGCACGTGTACAAACTCCTGACAGGAGAATGGAGAAGAGATTGCAGTGTGGTCATCCCTCCAGGGGGTGATTTTTCAGTTTCCTACTCTGTCTCTTTCTGTCTCTCTCCAGCAAGTGCATGCACCTTATGGCAAAAATTTAAACAAACAAACAAAAACAACAACAAACATGTATCAAAGTGTAATTCTGAGATTTCAAAGCAATATAGTGCCTAACATAATGTTTTGGCATAAAGTAGGTGCTCAGTTAAAGGGACATGGCTCATGCTGA